AAAAAAAAAAAAAACAATTTTGAAAGTTGAATAGAAACTGAAAAAAATCGCACCTCGATCAAAAAATCAATGCAACTTCCAAAAACCCTAATCCCAATTCCTGCTGAGGTGACAAAAATTCAAAGAAAAGCGTACCTGAAGTCTAGATAATGTATCGCCTAATTCAGGCGCATCAAGATTTGAAACTTTGACATCTGGGTACTGAGCATTTAACTCTATTAAATAATCATCTAAAGTTTTCCGTACACGCCGCAACAACGCTGATATGCTGTCCAGTTGATCCGCATTCAACTTCACATCTTTTTCGAGATCCTGAAAAACTCGCAAATACATTTATCAAATCTCACACAATAAAGAAATATGCATTAAAACTGATTTCCACACTTTATACGTCCCTAAGAAAATAAAAAGTTACTCACCTCCGCCTTTTGAAATGATTCGTTCAGCGCTTCCAAATTACCACTTTCAGCCTTTACAAAACCTATCTCACGAGTTTTACTTGTGATATAAGAATGAAAAGAACTTGTACTACTTGTGAAGTTTAATAAAAGCTTCGTTATTTCATTCAACCTAAAGTACAGATAAATAATTAGAAACAGCAATTTTTTCATATCGTAATATTGAAAATGAACGCAATTTTACAACCAGCTCGTTAAAGCTCAGAAAACTTCCATTCTCACCAACTTTTCAACATTATCTCGACTGATAAACAAAAAACTAACTTTTCCAAAAGTATATCGGAATACTGGAGCAAGTGAGTGTATGTAGTTTCTAACTGATTCCTCCCTTCTTTAAGCGCATGAAACTGCTCCGGAGTTAGCATATCAGCCTCTTCCGTGCAAAGCCTATCTGCCTCCTGGATGGCCGTTTCAATATGAGCAGCACTGGCCTTTAGTTTATTACGTAGCTCCTAAATTAAAGGTATTTCAATGCTGTAGATACAAGACTATTACTTAAAAAAACTATTTGCCGGTCCACTCTATTTTACAGTAAAATCCTTTAACCTCCATATCATTTTTTAAGGTTTCTGCGTCTTTTGGCGACGCAATGGCTCCAATATTGTCAACTACAATTGAACCGAAGCCGCTTAATTGATCTAAAATTCCAGAAATAACCGCTTGATGTTCTACACATTTCGTTGCGATGTCCTCCTATAATTCAATAAGATAATAAAAATGAGATTTCTACCACCTCTTTTAGCAAATAGGTAAATCATCCAAATTACCTTTAAAGCATGACACCTACCAATCACACCTCTACGACCTACTAGAAAAAGCTATACAGTACATATATAGTACCTTAAAACAATAATTTAAGCGCATATCAAAACCTCACTGTAAACAGTAAAGTGTATGATACCTAGACAGCGCAAACCCGTTAAAAAAGCTAAAAGGCGTTTCTAGCAACGTTTTAAAGATTCGGTGACTCCTGAAATAGTTAACTGGAAGAATGAGAACTTTTCATCTACCAAATAGCCCGCCACCTTCACCTCGATAATCCACAAACGCTTTCTAAGCTTCTGCTAATCCCAATAAGTTAACCAGCAATAATGTCAGAAACAACGCGTACCAAATCACTGAACTTAGAAAGCTGCGTTATCAAAAGCTTTTAGAACCACCAAAGACAGAATAATAGTGGTTGCTGCATGTAAACTTAAAAAGCTTCATTTTTTCAATCCTGCACTAAACCAGCAACTCATTTGAAAAAGAGATTAACAACCCCAAATCAGAAAACCGATGCAACGTGACTGCAGCTAACATGCAATATAAGCACATTTTTTATTTACAGAGGATAGCTCCCACTATCTATGACCCCAAAAAATTAATAAATAAATAAAAAAATGAAAACATAAAAAAAAAATAAAAATAAAAAAATAAAGAAAAAAAATAAAACAAGACAGAATTTATCATGCGTTGTGAAATTTCCTGATAGTTCCTTAAATTATACGTAGGTCTGACCTTTAAAGCAGTTATTTACCCAAATAGTTAAAATTCTTATCTGCTGTAATGCTCTCCAGCCGTATACAGCATTCAATGAGAAAATTGAAAGCCATATTCATAAGAGATTTGGTGTGCTTTGAGTAAACGGTGAGTCTTGCATGCAATGTTTTTAAAAACACGTATTTATTTTTTAAACCAAATAATTATTATTTCAATTAAAAGGCTTTATGTTAAATGAGACAAAAGAAAATATGAGCAATGGTTGGAGCATAGAAAGTAACTGTTACAAAATGCTAATATTCAATAAGTCACTTGCGGAACAATATCAGTTCACAAAATAATAAACCAAATTAGCTACTTCTATCTCTCCAATTATCGTTATAAATTTATTAAGTATAAGAATGAACGAATCAGCATCACAATAAGAATACACTACTTAATCCTGAAATTGAAAACACTGGAATACTCTTAACAGCAATCTGAGGCAAAAAATTAAAGAAAAACTTGGAAACACCGCATTTGAAAAACATTCTCACTGGGATAAAACGAAAAAAAAAGAATGAATAAAAATCAAGAAAGCAAAGGTAAAAGTAATAAACCATAAAATAAACTGTAAATATTTTGAACATAAGTTCCAAGCCCTCAAAGATCTAAGTTGGTGACAGATTAACAGCTCAGAAACTTTACCTTTCAATTTCCCATAAATCCTTAATAAACGTAATATAAATGTGGAAACAAAACGAACATAATTTAGAAATTAGACAAAAATTTCTTCAATCATATTTTGTGCTCAATCATGCGAAAAATATGCGAAGTCTTTCCAACTTTCTGAAAGCCTTAAGGACAACAGTCATTGACTACCAGCAGTAAAAAGGCACGCTCATTCTCATAAAAAATTTAAAAATTTTCATAATTTGATAAGCTGAAGATATATATATATAAATATGTACATAAACAGAGATGTATAAATGAGAAAATGAGAGGATCAGCTTTATTATCTAATCGCTCTACAAAACTATTGCCTTTGAAAAACTAATTAGGAAAATCTAAAAAGTAGCGGGACTTTACAC